GAATGTTTTCTTTTATATTAAAAATATCTAATTTTGAAGATATTATTTGAGGTATTCTCTAAGTACAAATATATTATGCAGCAGTAATTTGTTGTTTCTTGCTAATATAAAAATGCAATAATTTATAGTGCACTGTGGTACAGAATTATTAATTATTGTATTTCGAATATTATTAACCATTTCGATATTAGCAATAATTATTGCAGAAAATAAAAATTACTACACGACCGAAATTATAATATTAACCAATTGATTAATCGGTTTTATCTTGGTTGGAGGATGTCTCGTTGATTTATGATCGTTTGTTACAGTAACGGGAGTCGTGCAACGGCAAAAAGAACTATTGCATCGCGTTACGGACACTGCCGCGGATTACAGTATGTGTTCGCATAAATTACAATGTTTATTCAAAGGCTTCTGCATTCTTTTTACGCTTTTTACGGCTTCAGCGCAGCTTCCAGAAAAGGAAAAAAGAGCTTTCCAAAATTTGCAAATGCTTATGGGTGTAGTTGTTGATACAAGAAACAGCGTTGATGGATACGCTTTTGTTTAAAGGCATTAAAGGATTCTATGGGGAACCCTTTTTTATCTCTTTAATATATATATATATAATTCCACTGTGAATATTATTAATTTATTACATTTATCATTTATATAAATCACGTAATCGGTTTAATTGGATAAAAAAGTCCATTTTGTAATATATTGACGAATACTTCAATTCAGATATTCAAGAATTACAACAAAAATTCTTAAGCTCACTGTTAATAAAAGAAAATGTTATGTATAATAATTCTGTAAATTTTTCTTTCGATTGAAACGATCGAAAATTAACCACATATTTTTTTTTAACATTCTGTGATGTGAGTTTCGAGAGATCGCCCGACGAGAACAGAGCGAAAGATTAGTGATTAATTTCTCTTTCGCGAAACGTTGAAGAATGTAATTCGCGTTAACGTAAACTGCAAACGCGCGTGGGGCCGACAAGATGCAAATATGCGGATGTGTAGCAGAGAAGCACAATAACACAGTAATTTGATCTGTAATAACGCGACGTGGCGTGGTACTTTGATCGAGAAGAGATTGCTCCTTTCTCTTTATCACGAAACGATACGCTTGTAATTACATTACAGAAGCTCGTGACCCAGATTGCTTCTTAATTCCTTTTTGAATAAACGGATCGGATAACTTCTTCGGATAGTTTATATCGTTCTCGAATATTCAAATCGAATCACTTCGATCGAACGCACTTTATTTATTAATCTTGACAGAAATATCAGTAGAAAGAAATATCAGTGAAAAAGATTAGCTGTGAATATAATGCACTTTGACAATTTCAAATTTTATAGCTATAATTAAGATAATTTACCCATTGAATCTGAAAAGTTATGCAAAAATTTAGATATTCAGTATAAATAAGACATTCTATCCTTGAAAAACAATCTTAATCTGTGAGATGAAAATTGTCGACTACAAAATTAACAGAGTAGCAACATTTCGTTTAATTAATGACGCTCGCGTGATGCTTATGTTTTAAGTCCTGAATAATATATCACCAAAGTATAAAGTGCTACAACAACGGCGGACAACAAAGGCAAATGACAATATAATTAATGTTTCAATGAACTTGCAAAATAAATTAGTCTCCCGACGCGCTACAATACGCGTATTTAAATGCAAATGATAGATGTCAAAGACCGACAAAGACAAGCAGGAATCACAATGTTGATTAATGAGCTCACTATATTACGCTTGAAATTACTTGAAATTGCTTTTATCTTCGATTTTTCGTTGCTGAGACACTTGTGTGTCTTGATATTTCTTGGTAATTCAATTCCTTACCTAACAAGTTTAATGTATATATATAT